TCATTGTGACAAACACTTACTCACCTATAATGTATTAATATCAATGTAAGCATTGAAATTATGTTCTCGGCCTCAACTCACCACATGCCTGAACAATTTTCTAACAAGATTTCGTATTGTAACAGGTGTTACGGTCACCTAAATTAATACTTTAGCCGAGTTCTCTAGGCTATAATAGACATAGGTAGGTAGACTTACCTTTGAGTTGGTGGAATTATGAGCTTGTAGAAATATCTAGAAAATTGCTTGCTTGAGAATCTCTAATCTGTCACAGAAAGACTATCGCGCGTGTGTACCCTTTTCAAAATCTGGGCTAAAAACTATCCCATGTTTTCCCTCGGTCTCAAACTCCTTATCAATTTTCTCTAAAACGGCTGAGTAGTTTAAGCATGATAGAACAGGTAGAATCACTTTTGCATTTAAAACATTAAGGCTGAGCTGCACCATCTTACTTTAACTTTGACAAACGTCAAAAATCTGTCAAACTCCATACAAAAAGCACCGGTTATCGTTATAGTTACCGTTAAAGTTGGGTGGTGCAACTCAGCCTAACAGTAGGATGTATTTAAACACTTAATTGTGTGGGAATTATTCATATAATAGTGTAAAACTTGTATCATGTATTTACATGTAGGTAAGACTTTAACCCGTCTATTAGAAGTGGCATTTAATAAATCCTCGTGGCAGTTCCGCTAAGCGTCGGAGCGACAGCAAGCAATCTTTAGCTTTTGCCGAGCGAATTTGGGACATCCTTAATGTACTGAAGCACGTTCTAGATACGATAAATAGGAATGTCAGCGAACTAAGCTCCCTTTAGTTATGTAATGGTGTGCTATTTTACAAAAATATAACGCGTTAAGAGTACACATAATCAGTTACCTTTACCTTTAAATTAGTACATTAGACTGACATTCAAAGGATCCGGCAACTCACTAAAATCGTAGTCATGACTTTTAAAATAATAAAAATCGTGGATGTATTTATCTAGAGATCGATCTACAACAGACAATAAAAACAATTTTACACGAGAATGAAAAAACAAATAAATTTGATAACAGGGTATCGTAAGACGAAACATTTTAATCTGTAAATAAACTTATTATACAACTTACTACTCTTTAAAACCTATACTGGGGCATAAAAATCCAGACATCTACGTCGGTTCATTAAGTAGGGTTATGACCTCACCCAAACAATAGAAGAAATACGAAGTCTAAGTCCCACTACAAGGGTTAAGCTGAGTTCTTCTCAGAACTGACTTACTTATTGTCCCGTAGCAAGGTTATAGTTATTCTGGGACATGTAAAAGCGCTTTATAAAAAACCCTTTTGCAGAAAATGTTGTATAAACTGAAATAGAAAATCTTATGACAAAGGGTGAATATTTTTGGAAACCCTCATTATTTTACTCGGCAAATTTTTACTTGAATTGATGTAGGTACTAGTAATGTAGCGACTGCTTAATAAAATATATGACAGACTGTACAGCGCCCCAAGTGGTTACTATTGAACTGAAATTCACAGATTTTTTGACGAACTCCCTAATAACGATTCCGTTTAATGTAAACTCATGGTAAAGCACATGGTACAGAACGTTGATAAGTTCGTTCCGTACACCAAAATGTAAATTCAAAGATGCTCACGTAATGTTTGAGCTCAAATTAATGTTTACAGTCAAACAAATTATCCAATATTCAAGTCGTATTGACGCAAGTTATATTTGTGCAAACAGCAGAGTTCACTTAGCATCGCCGTAGGAATTCTGGGATAGCATCGAATGAATTATTAATATCATTGTTCCAGCTATTCTTTCTTGTATTGCTGTAACGTGGGTTTCTATTTGAATAGTTGTTTTCATAACATCGCCATTATTGTAAAGTTTTCTCGATGTTTATGATTTAAAGTAAGAAACTCTTTAGATGATAGCCATACTCGTGAAATCGGTTCCTTATACGGCTGAATATAAAGCACAGACATTTTCAGCCATGCCGTTTTACAAGACTGAAGGTTTCTGAACGTCGTACAATCCAATTTGCAAGAATCCCTTAAAAATTTTAGTCACCATCGATCAATATCGTTAGATAGCAATATTAAGTCTATACGTCACCTAAATACTAAGGTGAAGACTATTTAAAAAAATAAAAACTAGTCTCCATCCATCCGTAACTAGTCAACTCTACTTCTAACTAGTTCCCATTGATCCCAATCTCATGAGGTCTTTTTGCTGAAGAGCGCCATGATTAATGGTGCACGGCGCCTCGACGGCCACCACGACCCGTCGACGGCAATTTGTGATTCAGACCCGATACTAATGTGACGTCGTAAGTCTACGAAAAGGGGTTAGTTTTCAAGATGTTTCTATCGGCGATGGATATACTCGTAGTATACCGTTTACTATCGCTCGGACCATTTATTTTCTTATTTTTTGTGATACCTTTTAGTATAAAACTAGCTGACCCGGCGAACTTTGTTCCGCCTTAATGGCAATAAATAAGCAGACTTTTTTTTTATTTCGAACGGGATAAAAAGTATCCTATGTCCTTCTCCTGGCTCTAAACTACCTCCCTGACAATTTTCAGCTAAATCGGTTCAGCCGTTCTTGAGTTATAAGTGGAGTAACTAACACGACTTTCTTTTATATATATATATATAGATAGATTTTACTGTTCGTAGATGTTTCTATCGGCGATGGATATACTCGTAGTATACCGTTTACTATCGCTCGGACCATTGATTACCTTATTTTTTGTGATACCTTTCAGTATAAAATATTTTACTGTTCGTTCGTTCGTTTTAGCCAAATGACGTCCACTGCTGGACAAAGGCCTGGCACCAATGTACGGTCCTGCGTTGCCCGCATCCAGGTTCTTCCCGCGACCTTTTACTGTAAAACATACAAAAACACAAGCCTCCCTCGCGTAATCGGGTAAAAAGTCATAGCGCTAACTGTTCGAGACGCTTAAAAGTTCCAAAACTTGACAATAATCTAAAATCTTGTTATTTATTGTACGTTAAACATTTTCAATGAGTAATCGAATTATCGTCTAAGTACCAGTATAACTTATAAAACTAAAGTTACTTAAAGTTCGCTTCAGTACGTCTGCTACAATAATTTAGGCATTACCTTCCAATGACTCCCAAAAGACGATACAACCCATAGAGTTATAATAGAGATCTGATGCTAACTAATGCGCTGAGTTCGAAACTCAGTGTCGCATTCGAAATTGACACAAACAAAGTAGGTACTCAACGTTCGAATAATCTTTAGTAGGTACCTACTACGCAAGCAATGTAAACTGTTTTCATTATGACGTCTGCAGCAATGTATTCTGTTTTTGGGCATATTGCTGCGACACCGGCCCCGCCCCCTTGTCACATCTCCCTTTAGTTTCTGTGATCTGTGATTCAACCCGATAGAGCTAAGCTAGTTGAAAAGGGGCTTTTCGACCACTTTTCGACTGGTTTGCGATTATAATTTGCACTTTGTCTAGACCCACTGAGCACCTCGCTAGAATGTGATTCTCCCTCGCACTCACCCGCACACCTCCCCGTGTTCGCCTCATCCGTACCAGAGCACGGTAATAATATCATACAGTATTATAACTTCATATAAACCAACGAAACGCGAGCTTTCCTTCGAATTTCAAATCTAGGGACGCGGTCGAAATCCAAAAGTTAGGGTTAGGGGTGTCGCGAATGTGCCGAACGGACGTCGATGGCCTAGCTAGTGTTGAAAATGACTAAGGTGATTGAATTTGACTACCGTCATTTACGGTCAAATTTGTCAAAAACAAAGTTATTAATAGTCAAAAATGGTCATTTTCAGTCAGTTTAATTTTAAATAAAAATTATATTGTATTAAACCAGCTTTTGCCCACGACTTCATTCGCCTGAAATTAAAGTAACAGGTCATTAAGTTTTTTTTAATTAAATCTACTAACACAAAACAACACGCATTTTTATCCTATTCCATTCACAAAGTATTTTGTTTATCTAAATAAAAAAAAATTACAATCACAAAACTAGATAGAAATTCAAAGTAGGCAGATGTAATTAGAATGGGTACTGTAGGTGGGCAGCCCTATCGCATGTTGTCATACCGTGACGTACCGCGGGGCTGTTGACATTTATTTCAAAAATATGGCCGAGTTGGGATACTGTGTAGATAGTATTACCGTGACCAGAGCGTCGATGTGACGTCACGGCAGCCAGGTGCGCAGTTAACTGGACCGGGTTATAACTTGTAATCATTTAGATTTTAATTTATAGCAGTACAGCCAGTTTGGTTTCATTAAGCCTGTAATGGGCTCATATGCAAAATAGTTTCTGTAAGCCTTGGGGAACTATTTATATTTCGCGGATTAATGTGGTACACAATTTTAATAACTGGTGGATTTTGTGAGTGTAGCTAAATCTGTAACATCATTTAATGGACATAAAATGTTATCGATCACTCCTCTTTTAGACTAAAGCGTAATATTTTTATTTTCATTCTTTACAGATAGATACGTGCGATATTAAAAGACGACACTTGTTTAATTGGAATCCATTAGATGAACTTTCTATTTTGTATGCATAAGCGCAGCAAGCTATTATTAAAATACACTGAAGCTTTGTTCAAGGTAAATAACTCGGAAATGTAATACAAGCAACAATAAAAAGTTTTAATTCAAATATTTTGTTCTCCAAGAACCTTGAGCAATGCGAAATAACGTGAATTGCTGCAAATATATTCCATGTTTCACGAAACTACAGTCCACCTAAATATTAGAGTGGAGCAAAAATTGACGGAACTATAAAACGGTTGTTTGCAGTTGCGGGTTGTAAAAGTAAAATGTTTGTCATAGCAATCTGTGTCTTATAGTGAGTGAATTTGGGTTGCTTTTTCACTTTAATATGTTCAGAGCCGGTCATTCAACAAGGCCCAGTAGTCAGACCCCGTAAAATGTTTGTTATAGAAATGTGTGTCTTATATTCAGTTAATTGGTATTATTTTTCCAGTTTCGACGTTCGGGGCCGGTCGTTCAACAAGGCGCTGCAGTGGTCGGACCCCAACGCGTTTGGTCCGCGGGCCTACTTTGCGACCGTGGCCCGGCCGGCTTCTCTGACCCTGGACACGGTGCAGTTGGATGATGAGGGCGTGTACCGGTGTCGAGTCGACTTCAAAAACTCGCCGACCAGAAACTTCCAGATCCGCCTCGCTGTTATTGGTGAGTTTAGAATTAATAGTATTCTTTGTTGTATCATTTACGTGACACAAATTGAACCGATTTTGAACCTTATAGCCACAAAGTTTGTTATCAAGGATTTTAGGAGTTACAGTCACTAGCTCATCAAGTAAGGTTAACTTTAACTTAACCAACTACAATAAACAAAAATCTAAACAAATCATGTTTACCAAGTAACAACCGCCACATAAAATCCCAAACCACTTGCATACAGGTCCCTAAATGCCATTATCAAAACCCGTTGGAATCTTATTAAACTTGAATCAGCCGACGTCATACAAATTCTATTCATTACGCCCAAAACTGCGGCTAACGAGTGAAACGATTCTGCAAATAACTTCCGACCCTCCCACTAGAATGAGAACCGCGCCATCTGCTCGCATTCTCACACAGAAAAACTTCTTCCACGTCTGTTCTATGCTGGAAATTTATAAGAGAACCTTATCTAAAAAGCCAGCCTTTCAGGCTTTCGTGGAGGGATGCAAAACAAAGCTTTGTTAGAACTCCTTTGAATTTCGGTAAGGAAAATGAGAGGTTACACACGACCCCGCCGTCAAAGAACCGCCGAGTGGTGTTATTACAATAATGTACTGCGATATCGCGTTTGGAGTGCCGTGGCGTTCCCGGCAAGTTACAACGCATAGATCACTTAGGTTAATAGAGCGCGTTTACTCGTATACAAAGCACAATCAAACATAAATTTTACTATCGAACCTTTTAGATCTGTAAGTACCTGATACTTCCGTCTGTGATAAGTCTCTCCTAGCTCGTGTTTTGCTTTCAAGTGAGAGCAAATTTCTTGCACGATTTGATCGGCTTGTTCTAAGTCTAATCTGGCTAGCTACCACTATCTTACCTTAGTCTGTGACCATAACCACGAAGTTAAAAGTATTGTTCAGCAGTTGGAGGTTAGAAAGTCAGTTCTTTATTGTGGTTGAATATTGTGAGTGTAACATCCACCTTAGGCCTGGTCATAACTTTATTTTATTTTATTTTTATTTTACAAGGAAAACAATACAGTGTTGAAACTATTATGTAGACTAACATTTTAGAAAACTTATAACCATTAACATGTTTCCATCAGATGAGATGCAGGCCAATTATAGTTTCCCAGTTACTGATATATTTTGGGCCCATCAAAAATTCAAAATTAAGCCGTACTCTTTTGTTTTACTATTTTACTCTTTTACCAACTTCCCTACATACAATAGTAATCGACGATATCCAAAAATACTATTTTAATTTTCACACAAAAATTCCTTATGCTAAACATAATGTAGTCCACGGCATAACGATTAGACGAAACTGATTTTATTAGCAACCTTAATGCCGTACCATGGGCAAGGCTCGTTATGGCCCCCGTCAGAATTATGGACGGTAAAAATGTGATGGCGGATAAAACTTAATGATGTAAACAACCAATATTTTAGCAAAGTGATACGAAACGCCAAAGATTAAAGTCAGTTTATATTTCAGTAAAGATCAAGTGATTGGGCTTAATGATTTTCCGCAATTCGAAGAATCCGTTTTTTAATTTTGTCTAATTTCGGACAAAATCTTGTGCATCTTTAAGATTTCAAATTGTCCTAATTGATCCTCTACCATTTCCTAAATTTAAAATTACTACTAATTCAAGTTTTTAAGTTTAATCTGAACTAATGCGAATAGTCATACAAATACTATCATTATCATCTTATTGAACTTACCTGCATAGCACTTACGCGAATGTTTCACATCTATAGATACTTTAATGTGTTTGGTTATTCTAGTCCGTAAATAAATCAAAATAATAATATTTAACCCATTCATGATTACTTACCTTTAATATTCTTTCTTTTACCCAATATTTATAACTTTCATATACCTAATGCTGCTTTAAAGATACCATACACATGAAAATGTATCAAGCCATTAAGGTCAAATAGGAGCTCTCAAATCTTCATCGTTATGACTCATAATAGTTTGTCTAGCTGAAACAAAAATATCCTTATTTATCTTCAGCCAACTCCTTTCTGTAATAGAAATATTTTCTTTGCCGTTTTTAAAGTTTTTTTTTTCCAAACTTTCCAGTGACCTATATAGCTGAACCGTAATTTCCGATACGATAGCTAAGCAAATAAGAGGAGTTTCTTAAACTCAAACTTAATTAGATTTTGATATACGGGAAGGTACTAGCACGATATCAAGTACGAGTATTATAGAGCAAAATGTTTTTGCTGCAGTAAAACATCACTACGACAGTTGGAGTAGAGAATAATTTGGCAAAAAACACCATCAAGATGTTCACCACCGTCAATCTAAAACAAAGGCCTTAAGGGTGCCACAAGGGACCGCACTGGGTCCTTTGCTTCAAACGGTTCCCAAATCACTGTCACAAAATCTTGGATGTAATTCATTTATGAAAGGCAAAGGGGCTTAGAGCAAAGAAGATGCTCTTGCCAAAACGCTGAATAAGATATTACTTGGCTAAGCAAAGTGTTTGAGCGAAAATGTCTCGATTCTCTTCGACTGGAGGTGTGATGTTTGCTGTATAATATAACTGACACTGTCGAACGAATTTACTTGGAAATTATATGACAATACCCCATCAAACCGTTAACAGGGTAGCCACTAGCAACTTAATTTTATTGATTTATTAGCTGTCAAAATAAGATTGATTTTGTATGGCAAAGGGTACAAATCAGATCTTAAGTTAGAGCTAGAATGAAGTGTTTCTATAGAATCTGTGTCTTACTTGACACCCATGCCATACCTACTAATTTCATTTGCAGGTACACCGAAATCTTCCAAATCCCATTATTTCTAAACCTGCAACAGACATATTGTGAGTGCCTCCGCTATAAATTCCAGTAATAAACCTTTTACGAGTATCCAAACGAGTATTTTAATAAACAAAGGTCTTTAAACGTAATCCTTTTCACGTAACTGGCGGAGTGCACGGCATCGGCTATCAAAGTGATTTTATTAACTGGCCTAGTGCCCCACCGGGCCTGCCTTCTCCACAATTTATTATGCCAGCCCCTATCTACATATGTTTATCGCAGAATTTTAAATTGTAAACGAGCCCCTCGAAATACCAGTCAGTTCCTGCTGAAATTTACGCCGCGTTTGTTTAGTAATGCATGTAGATGTATGGAAAGTAAATCGTACTGAATAAAGCGACGGCGAAGCATGCGCTTCGTGAATGATAAATAAGAAATGAAATCCTCTAATGCCAAGCAAAAACTGAATGTGAAATCTGCTAACTTTAAATAAAGTTTACTGAAGTCAAGGCATAGTTTTTCTTTTGGATTTTTATGGAATACCGTTATGAAGTTTGCTTGTAACGTTGTCAGAAACATTTCAAATTACGTTTTTGTTGAAAAAGAAAACTGACTTTTAAAGTCTGTAATTTGTTTCCAAGATTTTTTTTGGTAATAGTTTGAGTGGGCTTTATTAAACACATCATACTTAAACTGGGTTGCACCATCTTACTATAACTTTAACAAACGTTAAAAACCTATCAAACTCCATACAAAAAACAACGTTATCGTCAAAGTTACGGTCAAAGTTAGGTGGTCCATCTCAGCCTTATTTTACTAAAAATGCTAACAGCTCCATTTAGTATAATAGATACGAGTAACTACAATTCACAAATCTTACTGATAGCAAAGGACTGCACAAAATTACTATTTAAAACCTCAATATCAGAGATTGTTAAAGAGGTGCTAATTAGAAACTTATCAATAAACCTGTACCTCAATACCGAAAAACCTCATCAAGAGGCAAGTCCTGCAGTTGAACTCTGTTTAAAATTACGGCAATCACCGAAGTTGGCCGGCCATTCCGCATTCACCGAACTCGTTTTTCCACTTCGCAATTTTGGTGGGAACCTATTTATTTGTATGCAAGTTCACTTTATTAGTTCCCGTTTAGCAAGCTCCGCTATTTGTATGTGCGGATACGCGTTCGGTTTGGTGCACTCTGAATAGGATGTAGGTGTACTTTTACAATCTATATTGGATGTATGTGAAAGCGACACTGTCTGATTGTAGTCACTCATTTTGATGAATTTGAATTTTGAATTTGAATTTTGAATTTGAATTTTGAATTTGAATTTGAATTAGATAGACCTAGAAGAAAAAAATGGCCGCAAAAAATTCAAAAGGGGATAATAAGTAGAGAATCTGTAATCTGTATGAAAAATATTTCCACCTGGGAGCGGGTCTCCCATTCACAGAATAATAATAAGTACTGTAGTATGAAATACTCGTATGTTATGATTTCCATTGCTTAGGTAGATACTTAACTAAAATTAAACTAGGTAGACATAATATTTTGCAGAAAATTGAAAAATGTAGTCAGCTTAATTTTTTTTATTGTTACAATGGCTTCCATCATAACTCTCAAATATCATACTTATCTCACAATACCGATCAAAGAACTAAATATCCATGTTCGGGCCGCATTTGTATAATGATAGTGTTGCGCTCAGCTTAGCGTCCGCTCGCTTTTCCAGCTCGAGCTAAGCGAGCGATATGTACTTAATAGTTAAGTGCGGGTTGCAACAGTGTGATCGTAAGTCATCGCTAGAGGGCGCGGCGGCGGCCTATATATCACGTTGTTTGAGTAAGGACCAGACTACACTGTGCACTGCATGGAAGGCTGAAGCTACACTGTGGAGTATGTTGAACTTGAAGGCATGCTGGAGACTCATGCATGAAAATTGCATTTGACTTTGATAGAGACTGCTGTTTCCTTCTTGTCGTCAAAGGGTAACTGTCGTTTACATTTTCATGATTACTTGCTACTGCTGTTGAGTTATTATGTTAATATTTTACATTTCACTGGGTTATAGCTACTCCCTTTTTCGAAAAAATCAAGTATCAAAATAGGTATCTTAACCTCTGATAACACGTTTTTTTATTATTTTGTACTGGACCGGCATTCTGGATACATTAACGCCATTGTTTGTAAATATAGTATTAAAATACACGTTTCAT